GAATTTGGATCTGCATCGGACATTAGCTGCTAGGTTTTATTTTCTAATCTCCACCATCTTGATCATTACCTTGTTTCTGAGTTATTTGTTAACGTTCACACTGTCAGTTGTTGTAAATATAGGTCCTTATATATCTAAAATAAATTTAAGGTGTATTGCTCTAATGTTCATGGTTTGAACCTTATGTTTTGCAACAGTAACAAGTGAATATATAGAGTAATTGATGTTACAATATAACTTATGCGTGTTTCAGGTATTGGTAGACCTTCTTTGGAGTCTGAGATGGGAGTACATTGGGGTGATGTACCCTGTCACGATGGAGACCACATTAGAAGAGCTGCAGACAAAAGCAAGTGACGCGGGAATCTGTCTTGCTAAGAAAGTACGAATTCCATCTCAATCTCCAGTACCTTACGTGGACGGAATTATAGATATAATAGGCAATTCTGATATAAAAGGCAAGTGTTTGGAATATAGACCTAATAATATATCTATGATTACCTGAAGTATTATACATCAAATCAAGATGTTTCTTTTTTCGGACATGACCTAATATTATATTGTTTTATTGTAATTTTCCAGTTGTGGTTCTTCTGCTAGAAGATGATATGATGTTAACGTCTGTCATGGAAGCCATTATGAGAGTTGGAGATGCCGCGTCTGACCTCCACTGGGTCTCCAACATAGAACCAACATCACGACTCATGGATATATACCAAGATGCCATCAGAGGACTCATATCAATTAAATATGTTCGAGATATTAATGATGATTTCAAAACATACTTGAGCTCACTCAACCCAAGTTTGGTGTCGCCCGAGGAGAACCCTTGGTTCGCCAATGCTTGGGAAATTATTAAAGAATGTGACTTATCACAAGATGGTCGCTATGGGGTACCATGCAACCTATCCGCTACATTGTCGTCAGAATCATTCGACAAGCAAGATGTTTTGACTTCAAATGTAATTGATGCCGTTTTTGTGTATGCTGAGGCTTTAGCCCGTCTGCATCAGGAACTGTGTGGATCATTCGTGGGAATTTGTGAACGATTTAGCTCAAAGGTTGGCGGGAGGCTACTAGATGAATTGTTAGTAGACGAGTTTACAGGCGCTCTAAACCAAACTATTGTATTCAATGATAATGGGGGACCGATGCATGTCGACTTTGAAATCGCAAATATACATTTGTATAATAATAGTAATGCCACTATTGTTAAGGTTTGCTATGGTTTGTTATTTTTAGTTACTACTACCCATTTAATTCATTATTCATAACGGCCTTACAGCCCACAATCACCCTGAAATTCTAGAACACCTTTGGGACCTGTAAATTTGGGGACGGTCTCAGAGGTTGGTCTCCAATTAGATGGTTAAATTTGTGATTGAATAGTGTTTGATGGTATTATCAGAAAGTGGTCTCGAATTGGAGGTCTTGAAGTGGAGGGTTAACTGTATCTTTGGGACCTGTGAATTTGGGGTCGGTCTCAGAGGTTGGTTTCCAATTAGATGGTTAACTTTGTGATTGAATAGTGTTTGATGGTATTATCAAAAAGTGGTCTCGAATTAGGGGGTCTTGAATTGGAGGGTTAACTGTATTAGAGAAATCAAGGAGGGTGGTGAATTAATAATACTTGTATACAAAACGTCACAGAAAGCTCTGTTTTCCTTCCTTTAATTTTAGATTGGTGCATGGGACAGTGATAGTACAATTGAATTAAATACTGAGGTGATACAACTGTGGACATCTTCTGAGGAACTCCAAAACATTCCAATTTCAACATGCCCAGAACCTTGTAAAGATCCAGCGTGCTTCTCATCAACTGGTTCCGCAGAGTCATTTGCCACTGATGGCGATGTGGTTATCGGTGGGATGTTCTCGATCCATGACGTCGACTGCATTGGCTTCAAAACATTCGGGTTCCTCCGGATGCAAGCGATGTTGTACGCCATTCAAAGTATTAACGACGATCCAACCATTCTCCCGAATGTGACTATCGGTGCCGAAGCGTTTGATACGTGTTCTGACACCGCTGTAACGGGAAAGCAAACGTTTAAATTTGCCGCAAGCTTTCCAAGTACTGATGATGGTCTCTTCATTAGCAAGGGAAAAAATGGCAAGCGGCAGTATGCAGTTGGTGTGATTGGTTCCGACAGAAATGACATCACCGCCAACATAAACCAACATCTGACTGCCATTGAGATAGTTCAGATTGGGTATTCATCGACACCGTCTAGCAATGAACTGATAAACTTTTATCATGTAGTACCTTCGACCGAAAGTCAAGCCAATGTTATCATCGACATTCTCATTCGTGTGGAGTATAAATATATTCAAACAATAGAAAGTAAATATGCAAAAGAAGCTGTGGATACCCTGAAATATCTATCCAGTCAGGTAAAAGTGTTTTGAAATATTAAACAGTGCTATCTTCTGGCGATTTTGTATTTTAGGAACATTTGTTGGCGCGGATATGCACATTCTAAATGTAATCTGATGTCCCGTAATGTAGAATCAATGTTACCAAAAAAAGGTTTTGTTTCTCGTAGTAGTCGACTGTTTAATTATTGTGTTGAAGAAGATTGACCTTTTTTCTTTGATAGTTCTAAATGTTTGTGTGAAAGTATTTTTTCTCATTTATATTTTAGCTTTTCAATTCCATTCTGTAAGTGGTGGTGTGGGGGGGGCTGTAAGTGGTGGTGGGGGGGGGGGGGTCCAGCTGTTGAATGTGATGGTAAATAAATAAATAATGCATCTGACACAATCTGTAGACCCACATAACTGCCATGTGTACTACTTAGCATCTGTCGACACAAACGTGCATTAATTTCGGATACTGTACCGTACTGTTTCATTGTAGTCTATGATGTCTTATGAATATTGAAACCTTATTCAATAAACTTATTTTATTCCAAACAGGTCGATATTTCTGTTGCAAACTCAATTGTTGTAGAAGAAGACACATCTTTTGATAACGTCATACACAGACTTCTGACTTATCCGACAGCAAATGTGATCGTTGTATTCTTAGAGGCTCCTCAGGTAAACCAGGTTCTTGAAGCCCTTGATCGTGCAGGCTTACAGCAACAATTCCAGATCATCGCGTCAGATGAATGGGGATTGGATACGTCAACCGTAGACGGTATTGAGTCTGTCACTGAAAGTAATAAATGTATTCATTTTTAATTATCAAATGTACTCCTATTTATAATGTTCACTGATTTAAATATACATATTAATAGTAACACTAGCATCAAAATTAATATACTGAGCGTTAGTCATGAAAACACCCCAGTGGTGACAAGCACCTTGTAGCACTTCGTTAAAGGTAAGTCTGTATTCACCTAATGAACAAATTCCATATTTCAATAGCTTTGTGTATATCATTAAATTATTAGTTTTCATATACAAATATTTCATTATTTGCATAGAACATGGAATTATTTCTTTATAAATTTCAATAAACATAATATATACTTATAGACTTGAGAGATGGTTCATATGATTTGAACATGTAGGCCTAATGTTTTACAAATATTGACCGCATTTGTAATTTTAATTTTTTACAGATTCAATAACCATCAGTCCCAAATCGATGACAATTCCCGGTTTTGAATCGTATTTCACTGGATTACAACCAGAAAATGCAGTAGATCCATGGTTCACCGAATTCTGGATGGATCGATACAAGTGCCAGTTACCAGGACAACCAATCCTCTATGACGAATCGTGCTCAGGTTCGAGTCCCATTCATTCAAACACAAGTTTACATTTATTAAGATTAGTAGGCCTACTTGACATTGATGAATCATTATTAAAATAGGTTTTGGTTAATATTAATAAGGATTATTAACCTAATTTAAGTAAAGAGCATTAGAGCCATTTAAATAATAAAAGTGTTTTGAATGTTATGTTTACTTGTTTATTTTTAGATTTTTAGCTTTGGCCTTGATGTTAGATTCATTTCTTTGAAATACATTTTTCAATGGTAACATTATAATTTCTAAATTGGTTCTTGTAAATAAACTTATATCATATTGTGTATTTAAATACATGCTTGCCTTCTAACCCCATGGTCCTTGGTTCAATTCGTGTCACATTGGGACTTTTTCTCACAACTACACAGCTCAACTCTCTAGGCCTCAATAAGTGACTTGGTATGTATCTTATAAAGCATCGTTCCATCCTGTAAGTTGCGAGTGTACTTGTGGTTGGATGTGAAATAAATAAATATAAGTACCGTATTTGTTAAATGACGAATCGATTTAAACAGTCCTTATTCTATATTCACTTAAAACTGTTATCGCATAGAATGGTTTTAAGTGAAGATAGAATGGAAGAATGGACTGCTTAAATTGATTCGTCAATTTAAACAGGATTTTGGTGGGGGGGGGGTTCTTTTTGATACTGAAAGGGCACTTGCGAGCATCATTGGCTGGGGCAGGGGGCCGCCAAGGGCCCCCGGGGGTCCAGAGCCAAAACCCCGGTGGGGTCCAGCATTCTAAGCATTTACAGGTGTTATTTAATTGATTTGAGAGGCCATACATTAAAAAAATGTATATAATAAAGAGGTACCGGTAATTTTTGGAGTTGGGAAAAGATTTTTAAAAAAAATACAAAAAAAAAACTACTACTTTAGTACTACATTATTGGTAATTTAAGAACAGTAGCATGATACAAACTCCAAAAAGTCCAGTATGGTTTATTCTTTATTTTTTATTTATATAGCACTTTGGAAGTTGTATCATACTATACTCACTTAAGACAATCA